CCAACAATAGATCCACCACCACCAACAGCCAACCACAACCACCACCGCCAGCAAACAACAATAGATCCACCAACCCCAACAACAATAGACCAACAGCCAACCACAACCACCACCACCAGCCAACAATAGATCCACCACCACAAACAGCCAACCACAACCACCACCGCCAGCCAACAACAATAGATCCACCAACCCCAACAACAATAGACCAACAGCCAACCACAACCACCACCACCAACCAACCACCACCACCAACAGCCAACAACAGCAATCCGCCACACCCACGGCGTCGAAGTAACCCACCCACATACCCCAACAGCGTCGTCGTTGGCTGATTCGCAGCAGCTGCTGCTGCAATTCCAGATTCGCAGCAGCTGCTGCGAATCGCAACAGAGGAGGGGATGGGGAGGTGGAGGTGGAGGTGGAGGGGGAGGGAAAGGGGTGAAATGGCGGTGGAGATGGGAAGAGAAAGGAAAGGGGAGGGGAGGGGGTGGAGAGTAAAAAATTAGGGTTAGGTTTTTATATAGCACCTGATTTTTGAAGATTAAAACTTGGTTCCTGATTTTTGAATTTGAAACTTTAAACACCCGATCCCATGTAATTTCCTCTGCCAAGTTTTTACGTTTGGTACAGCTTTTAATAAGGGAAGAGCTTCATTTTCTGACATAGGGTGAATGAATGAAACTGCCGAGGATTGATCCAACAAGTTGACAGGACTTGTATTTCAGGTTGATTATGAGTGATCTTATTGTTTGTAACTAATCAGTAGAGAGGATTTAGGTGAGAGAGCATGAGAATCCTTGTAATCTCATGTTTTTAATGGATTCCATTGTCTTCATCCATGGTCAAAGGCTCATTTGAACTAAATGATATTTTGTCTGTGCTTTAAGGGTCAATTCTTCTCAGTTATCTTAGCAGTGTGCATAGTCACAACACTAACTAGATTATATTTAGGAAACTTAGCATTCAAGGTCCGAAGAACCATCCCCAGAGAACGAATATAATCTGCTTCAAAAGGTTATGCTTGATTACTAAACAATGATAAGCTTCAAAATTATTTTACTTCCTTGTGCTTCTTGAACAAATACTTTAATCTCTTCTCCTTTCAGTGACAATGACTGGGATGAGGGTTCTAATCATGCTAGAAGAGAGGAGGGAGGGAAGGGGAGAGAAGACAGGGAGGAACAAGGACAGAGTGTTACATACCAAAAATTCAATATGCTCACAGGAATCCAGAATCAAAATCCTGGAGACATAATAATAAAAACAATAACAATTAGACTTCAGTAAAACGTAAACATGGAATCAGAATAAAATTCAAGGACTTTACCAAAAAAGGGTAGGAAGGGCATCTTTTTTGTATTTATTTGGAAGCTCTGCAAGTTTCCCTTTCCACAAATTGCTCCATGCAAAAACAACAGCAATTACAGTTGGACCTAGTACAATTTGATTTAACAAAACCTGCAAGAAGGAAAACCAAAAAATTGTTCAATGTTGTCTGCAATATCCCAAGTGCAGTCAAGGCTCAAAGGTCACAGCTAACCCACCTTCATCAATAAGTTCTCAACAGTTTGCTTTCGCATGCTATGATCAAGGAACTGATACCTGCATAGGAACCAGGACCATATAATAGGAAACCGTATGAAGTCATCCGGAGGGCTCTAATCCAGTCATGCTCGGACAACACAACCTCCATTATATCCTAAGGTAGAATTTGTTAAGAAATAATATTTAAGTAGCTGTCAATCAAATGAATGAATTTAGGCTATTCAGCATAAAAGTTCCTTGCTATAAAACTAACATGAAAAAGAGAAACAAGTTCTTAGATATGTTGTATTTGTCAATAGTTCATCTTGAGAATGACAGAAGAAATGATCAGCTTCGATCTTGAGTGCCTTTGAGAATGTTACCAGGAGGGTACTTGATGAACAAACAAAGGAAGTATATGCAATGTTAATATGCTAAAGTTATCAGGACTTAGAAGGAAAATAAACTTCCGGATAATCTTTGTAGAATGATGAAGAAAATCATTTGTTGGTGATGTTGGAAGACATGGCATTAGATGATATGCCAGACACTGTCTCTGCTAACTTTCATTAGCATGATATTACCTAAAAATGCATACTAAATAGAAGTCGTGCATGCACATTATGTTTTCCAATTCATGAATAGATAGTACATATCAAGCATAAATTAATTGATAAACAAATTTCTGCAGTGAGAAGCACATTTAGATGGTGCAGCCTATGCTTTTTGTTACCGGGATAATATTTGATTTGAGAATGAACTAAAAGTCCAGGATCTCTCTGAAATCATTTATCTTTTAGGTCAAGGCTTAATATTTGTAAAATTGGTTCATAAAACCTCGACACTTTCACATATTGCTAAACAGTTTAGAAACTAATCGTAGATATAAAATATCTAGATGATATGGGACAAGAATGCAAATAATCGTTTGATCCATTTCTAACTTTTATTTTGTTTCTGATATCATTTGAAACCAAACGAGGGGGAACATCCTAACTTGTTCTCATCTCCACTCATTTTCTCTCATGTCCAAAGTTATTCTCTCGTGTTATCTAATGTTATAGCATTGTTCATTTTTATCATTACATATAGGCAAATAGCAATTCACAGTTCCTTATCAACATATATGAATAAAAACGATACGAGTCCTTTCAACTGCCTAGTAGCATGAAAAGAAAAGATACAAGTCATTTCAACTCCCTTTAACTAGGAATGGGCAAAGGTAAACCCTTGATAACTTATAAGCATTTAAATGAGCTTCACAAAAGATTTTTTTTGAAGCCTTATCGAGTCTATTTTCTTGTTAAGAAATGATAGTGCCATCCTGTCGCTGGCTGATGCGGTCTATCGTTAAGGAGCTCAGGGAATCATCCTGGCTACTTGGAAGTAGATTACACACATTGCACATAAAATTGTGTATCTTTCTAAAAACACATCGTTCATTTTGCCACAGCCCAACAGAGGACAAGTAAAGAGATTGGTAAAGCTCCTTAAAAACCTAGAATCTTCACCATACTTGTTCTCTGTTTGCATTGATGATTCTCATAACTAAACTGAATTATAGATCATAACTCAAATAGGTCAAAGGACAAACCTAAACCCCGTGTTATCTATATCTAGAACAGTCCATAAAAATGTAAACTACAGCAAGAAACATAGCTATTTAATAAATATGGGCTAATCGAGTAGATACCAATATTGTTATAATTAGGGGATTATGGGAACCCTAATTAAGCAATATATAAAGACCTCTTTGATTATGGTGCCCAATATACCAAATTATACATAGTTTCCCTTCTCCCCATCTGGAAGAGAGACGATGGTGAGAAATGAGAGTTTAATTCAAGGAAAACAATTATTCCTTATTTCTCACTTGTTATTACTGATATGGAAAGTACAGTATTTATAGAAATGAAGCAACAGACTCTGACCTAATAACAAACACTAAACTAATTAACTAACTAATTAGCTAACTAATGACTGGAAACTTATTACTGNATAATGATGAATATTCCCTATATCCTCCCCTCAAGTGGGATCACGGTGAAAAACTAGCAGACCCAACTTGGAGACAATTTTATGAAACTGCGGTCCAGAGAGAGCTTTGGTAAAAATGTCAGCTGGCTGATGATGCGTGGAGATGTGCTTGGGAATGATGAAGCCATCCTTGAATTTATTACGAACAATGTGACAATCAATATCCAAGTGCTTAGTGCGCTCGTGGAACACGGGATTAGCACTAATGTGGAGAGCCGCTTGATTATCACACCAAAGAGAGATTGGAAGAAGGAGAGGAATCTGAAAATCAGACAAAATGTAGGAAATCCATAACAACTCACAAACCGTAGCGGCCATACTTCGATACTCTGCCTCTGCTGAACTACGGGAAACTGTGGTTTGTTTTTTTGTTTTCCAGGAGATAAGAGCTCCTCCTAAGAAGATACAATAGCCTGTGAGGGACCTTCGTGTGTCTGAACAGGAGGCCCAGTCAGCATCGCAAAATGCCTCAATGCGGAATCCGTTCATGACAGGATAAAATAGACCAGTAGATAATGTTCCCTTGATGTATTTTACAACGTGAATTGCAGCATTCCAGTGAGTCAGTGTCGGGGAATGCACAAATTGGGACAGTTGCTGGACACTGAAGGTGATGTCTGGCCTAGTTAAAGTAAGATATAAAAGCCTTCCAACCAGCCGGCGATACTTATCTGGGTTGTCAAGCACCTTTTCATTATCCCCAAAGAACTTCAGACCCTTTGGTAGTGGAGTGACAGTGTGCTTGGCTCCTGATAAACCAGCATCAGCAACTAAATCAGAAGCATACTTTCTTTGATTTATATATGTCCCATCCTTTTCTCTTGCAATTTCAATGCCAAGGAAATACTCGGCACTTCCCAGATCTTTGATGGTGAAAGCTGAATGGAGAGACGCCTTGAGGTTTCGGATTTCATCTTCACTATTTCCTGTCACAAGCAAATCATCAACGTAGACAAGTATAGCCACAAACAAATCATCCTTGGTTAGAACATATAAACAATGGTCATGTGTAGATTGATGAAAACCATAGCTTTCAAGATGTTTGCTCAACTCCGTATTCCACTGTCTACTGGCCTGCTTAAGGCCATAAAGCGATTTTTTGATTTCGCTTTAGTATAACCTTCCGGTGGCCACATATATACTTCCTCCTCTAGATAACCATGTAAAAATGCATTATTAATATCTAGTTGAAAAATGGGCCACATCTTTGTAGTGGCAATTGCCAAGAAAATTCTAATAGTAACATGTTTTGCCACGGGTGAAAAACTTTCAAAGTAGTCAACCCCTTCTACTTGGTGGTATCCCTTAGCTACCAATCTAGCTTTGCACCTATCCAATGTCCCATCTGCCTTTAATTTTACTTTAAAAACCCATTTACAACCTATTGGTTTCCTGTCAGGGGTGAGGGAAACAAGATCCCAAGTATCATTCTTATCAAGTGCAGCTAGTTCTGCATTCATTGCCTCGATCCATTCAGCATTAGTACAAGCTTCCTGATAGGAATTAGGCTCCTGACCAGTTTTAACATTAGCAAGAAAGTGAGTGTAATGTGAATTGAACATTAGATTAGAATGTGAAGAATGGGAGGCGACTGATGGTTGACTGTCAGGTTGAATATCAGACTGAATATTGTCACTGTGACTGAAATTAGTCACGAAATCTTGAAGCCAATGAGGAGTTGTTTTCTGTCTGTTACTTCTTCTTGGGGTAGCTGGTGTGGCAATCAGATTGTGTGCTAGTCTTTGTGTATCAATTTCAGGACTTATTGCAAGTGGCAGACTGTTGTTATCCCTGGCAATACATGATTCAGTACTGGGTTGAGCAGCAGATAGTGGCTGGGAGTTATTGTCATGTAATATATCTTCCTCATGTTCACTAACAGATATAGGCAAGGGAGCAACAAGTTCATAATTGAAGTGATTGTTATATGGAAAACTGTGTTCATGAAAAATCACATCCCTAGACACAAGAATCTGTCGAGTATTAATATCAAACACCTTGTATCCCTTCTGTCCTGAACTAAAACCCAGAAGGATGCATTTAAAACTTCTAGGAGAGAATTTATGCTTTGAGGGTAATGTGTTGGTGGCATAACATAGACAACCAAATGTTCTGATATGATGATATGTGGGTATTTTATTGTGTAATAATTCAAAAGGTGTTTTCCAATTCAACAGTTTGGAAGGAAGTCTATTTATAATATATGTAGCCATTAAAATTGATTCCCCCCAGAAATAAGTTGGTAAAAAAGATTCAAACATGAGACTTCGAGCTACTTGAAGCAAGTGTTTATGTTTTCTTTCTACAACCCCATTTTGTTGTGGGGTGTAGACACATGACTTTTGATGTAGAATACCATTTGTAGCTAAAAACCTTTGAAAATCTTGACTTAGGAATTCTGACCCATTGTCAGTCCTGATGTTCTTAATACTGGTTTGAAACTGATTCTTTATCATCTGATGAAAAAACTTCATGGTGTGCAAAACTTGAGTCTTATGTTTTAATAAAAAAGTCCATGTAGCTCTTGTGAAATCATCAACTAGTGTTAAAAAGTAATGTGCTCCACAGATGGAAGCCCTTTTGTAAGGTCCCCAGATATCAACATGTAAAAGTTCAAAGGATGTTCTAGACTGAATATAACTTCTTTGAAAAGGTAATCTATGTTATTTAGACAAAGCACATACGTCACAAGGAATGAAATCACCCTTATTACACTGTGTTCCTAATATGGAATGTTGTAAGATATTTTTAGGAACGTGACCAAGTCTTTTGTGCCACAAAATGGCATTATCAGACTGATTATTACAATGTTTAGAAGGTAAAGTGGCTGCTGAAGCAATATCAGACGCATTACAAAGGTCAGGGGTATACTTTTGGATATTACTGTGAAGGAAGGAATTCTTATCTAGAATGTAAAGGTTGTTGATTGTTCTACCAACTGCCAGGGTTTCTTCAGTCTGTCGGTCCTGCAATAAGCAATGATCATCAAGAAAAATGAATTTGAGATTGGAGGTTTTGGCCAATTTGTTCACAGACAGCAAGTTAAATTTAAAAGTAGGTATGTGCAAAACTTCTGTGAGGGTAAGTCCTTTGCTCAGGGATATATTGCCAGAATGTTCAACTCTGTTAATTGTTCCATCTGGTAAATATACAGGTACAGTGGTGGTGATAGTTTTGGGTTTATGTATGAGTTTTAGATCATTACACATATGATTTGATGCTCCTGTGTCAACTATCCAAGAGCCCGCTTCTATAAGGTTGCAGGTATGTAATGCATAAATGTAATCTGTGGTAAGTACAGAACCTGCGAAATCTCCCAAGTGTGCATAGTTCACCCTGTCATTGCCTTTCCCTTTGAAAATTTTGATCAGCTCCTGTTGAATCACCTCACTCAGGTTCATTCCCTGCATCTCCTATGGAATTGCTTCATTTAACTTCATTCCATGCATCTGTCCTTTCATTCTATTTCCTCCTTCTCCAGTTATCAGATCAAAAGGAGTCTCAGCCAGATTTGCCATCTGTTTGTCTTTCTTCCTTTCTTTAAGGTCTTTGTACCAGTCAGGATATCCAATCAACTTGAAGCAGGATTCTCTATTATGTCCATTGACATTGCAATGTGTGCAATACTGCTGCTCCTTTTCCCTTTTGTTCTCATATCTCCTTCCTTGTCCCCTTACTCCACTATCCCTTTTGTAAGGCTGTGATTTAGCATATAAGGCATTTAATTCAGCACCTTCACCGTACACAACTTGCACCTCCCTTTGCTTCTCTACTCTCTGAACCATTGAGTAAGCTTTGTTCACCACAGGTAATGGTTCAGTAACTAAGATCTGGCTCCTCACATGTTCATATTCTTCGTTTAGTCCCATCAGGAACTGCATCAACCTATTGAACGAAGTCATCTCTGTGGCTGCCTTTGCTGATCCACAAGTACATTGTGGCAACGGCATGAGATATGTCAGTTCATCCCAAAGTCTTTTAAGCTTCGTGTAATATTGAGTTACACTCAAGGTTCCTTGTGTCATGGTAGATATTTCCCTCTGGATCTGGTATAATTGAGGTCCATTACACCCTCCGAACCTTTCTTCAATTTATGTCCACAATTCCCTTGCAGTGGTGGTATATAGAAATGCATCTACTATCTCCTTCGAGATAGAGTTCAAAATCCATGAAGTCACCATGTAATTAACCCGATTCCACCTCTCGTAATCAACTGAATCCTTGTTTGGCACCTCAATTGAACCATCAATTATTCCCAATTTCATTTTCGCCCCTAGGGCTATACGAACAGATCTATTCCATGCCAAATAATTTCTACCTGTTAGTGGCGCCGTGACCAAGGCTATTCCCGGATGGTCAGAATTATGCAGCACTAACGGATCATCCCTATCACCCTCCGCCATTTTAACTTCGTCTTAGTTTCAGCTCCTTCGTAGAACAAGAAAGACGATCGCCAATCCCTGGGTCGTCAC